TAGCTGTGCCGAATGAGGGTGGTGGGAGTGGAGATGGACAGAAGTAGCTGGAGTTGAGACACATTCAGAATAAGGAGCCAAAGCAGATTCGGTGATGGGCTGGACTAGGAAGCTGCAGTCTGGAGAAAGAGGCAGCAGAACTGGCTCGCAGATCGCGGGCTTGGGCAGGTGGGTGGGTGGCAGTACCATTTACTGAGGTGGAAGACTGGTTCAAGAGTGGTGTGTGCTTTCGTTGTCACTTTGTTTATTTATTTTCTTGACAGGAGGGTTGGCGATGGGCAAAGACCATGAGTTTAGATTTGGACATTTTGAGTTTGAGCTGCCTATGAGGCACCCACATGCATATGCCATGTGGGAAGTCAGACACAGGGCCTGGAAATCAGAGCATGGGCCTAAGTGGGAGCTAGAACGTGAGAGTCCCAGCACTGGCGAGTACTTGGAACTCGAGGCATGGCAGAGGTGGCTTCAGAGAATATGGAATTAGGAGACAAGATGACTAAGATTAAAACCTCTGAGATTTGAACGTGAAGAAAGGATATTCAGTAGTACACATTTAATGCAAACAGTGTATAATTGCAGTCTTATTTATTCATTCATTTTTGTCAATTTGGCAATCTTTGTCTTTTCATTGGGAAGTTGTTCTTTTATTTTTTAAAACTTTATTTTTTAGAAAGATTTTTGCTATAGGGTGTGTGCACTCACCAGAGAAATAGAGAAAGACAGAGATACAGAGAGTGAGAAATCACTTCCTAGGGGGGTGGTCACACTGCAGTCCCTTCTCCTCCATTCTCCTCTTGGGATTTTGGACATACATGCACATGTGCCCAGCATGAGTTTTAACCCACTGGATCCGGGAATCAAACTGTGGTCAACTACGTGGTAGTCCAGTGACGTAACCATTATGCCATCTGCTGGTCCCAAAAGTTTTTGTTTTATTATTTCTTTTATTAACATTTTTTTTTTTGAGAGATTTTCGCTATAGGGCGTCTGCGCTCACCAGACAGACAGAGAGAGACATAGAGACAGAAAGCGAGAAATCACCCCCCAGGGGGGATGGTCACGCCACAATCCCTTCTCCTCCATTCTCCTCTCGGGATCCTGGGCATGCACGCACACGCGCCCGGCGTGAGTTATAAGCCACCGGGTCCGGGACACGAACCGCGGTCGACTATGTGGGAGTCCAGCGACAGCCACTACACTAACTGCTGGTTCCCTCTTTTATTAACATTTTTATGCCTTTTATTATTGGTCTTTTTTTTGTCTTTAGCCCCAGAGGCCATGTTTTTCCTTCTTTCCTTCCTTCTTTCCTTCCCTTTAGAATTCATAGTTACTCAGTCATAATACAATACTCTACGTACGTACCCTGAAATCTGTCATTGACTTGGAACCTCATGGCCTATTCCTTCATGACACAGTTTCTCTGAGTTATGTATTTTGATTCATTTATCCATTGGGTAGAGCATGACAAAGTACTGTTTGGTTTAATAAGAAAAGGCAGGGCAATGGAGTAGATCTGAACTCTTGCAGAGCTGAGAATTCGTTTGCTTTCACAAGTGCACAGCATTTAGGCAGGGCACAAAATTTCTTGGGTCAAAATTATTTGTCCTTCAAATGTTCCAGATATCATTCCATTATCATCTAGCAGTCAGTGCTCACAGACAAGAAGTCAAGCATTGCTTTGAGTTTTCTTCTAAAATGCCAGTAGAATGTGTGTGTGTGTGTCTGTGTGTGTGTGTGTGTGTCTGTATGTCTGTGTGTGTGTGTCTGTATGTCTGTGTGTGTGTGTGTCTGTATGTCTGTGTGTGTCTGTATGTCTGTGTGTGTGTGTCTGTATGTCTGTGTGTGTGTGTGTGTGTGTGTGTGTGTGTGTGTGTCTGTATGTCTGTGTGTGTGTGTGTGTCTGTATGTCTGTGCGTGTG